ACCTATTATTTTTAAAAGTGTAATCCCAAAAAAAAAAAAAAAAAAAAAAAAAAAAAAAAAAAAAAAAAAAAAAAAAAGTGCTTTCAGAAATCATTGTAATCTAAGATATGAAGTATTGAGCTAATGCTTCATGAAAATCAGGCTTGGTGTGATGGACTTCTTAAAATATTGTTGTGGCATTGAAAAACTATATAATGTGCATATTCAGTTTTAACAGAAAGACAAAATAATGCCAAAATTAAGGAACTGCATATGTCTCCTGACTTACAGTGTAAAGGATGCAGCAAGCTTCTTTTTGCTTGAACCTTCAGTGAAGGGTGAGTTCTTAGTGAAAAAATATATATATATCACATTGGCCTCCACAGCTATAAGACTTTCTGAGTCAGTTCTTGGTTATCAGTGTTTTATGTTTATGCTCTAAATATTGCAAATATCATTTTCAGAATTGTTCCTTCACTATTTCAACAAACTTTTCTCATTGCTTTGAGAACAGTGGAAAACAAAAGGTGATATATTTGAAATGGTGTACTACAGGCAAGAGTTAAAATGTGAAACACAGCATTTCTAGGGAAACTTCTTTCTCTACTTGAAAGAGGGAGAAAATTGATCAAAATGCTAAATAGCAAATGCTAGCCACAAAACCATGAATTATTCCACTGCATTTTAGTGAAAGGAAAAGCTATTGAGGAGGTTCATCATACATAATATCTTTCAATGAGTCCTGAGTCACAGTATGAAATGTGGAACATCTATTATTAGACCATTGAATTATTTTTTTCCTATCAGATAAATTTGAAAAGTTAAATAAAATATGACTGTACAAAAAATGGCACACCTTGCTTGATTTCTGAAGTATCTTAAACAATTGGAAAAGAAACTGAGGCTCAGGGGTTTAGTAGCTGGGTTACTTACAATGTCAACCACGGGACATTTCAACCCACAGATGCCTAAGTAAAGGAGCAAGAAAAATAACTATAATCAGGAAATGTCCTTTAAAATTAACCTCTGTGTTATAAATAAAAATGCACCAGAGGAAATCTGAGAATAGGTCTTATCTTTCTGTCTAATGAGCAATAGATGGGAACTATAAAGAGAGATTTTAGCTTTTCTATTTTGGGCAGCAATAAAATAAAAAATGTGACATGCTGCTTTTGTTGCAAGTTAAGGTGACAGTCATTTGCAGCTGTGTTGCCACTTACAGGAGAGGATATGTTCTTTATTCCACTCGTGGAAAACAGTTGTACAATAGTAACTTGTATTAGCTGAGATTTTCTGCTTTAGAGCAGTGTAAATTCAATATTCATCAGCTACCAGAATTTAATTCCTGGTGATATGAATGGCCCTAACATGCAGAGTGAGAAGCCTGATGTGCAGTGTCACCAAACCAGAGCTTGCTGATTTTATTTGGCAAAAGTTTCATTCATCTTGTATAAGACGTGATACCCTGGATATATCACTTTGATTTGAGCTAGTTGCTGTCATCACAAAGAAAGATGTTTCAGCTCTAATGGGCTGAAAATATCATGCTGCTGCATCTATTTTATGCTAGAGCTTTTGCAATGGAAAATATTAATATAATAATACAGTCTGCTGTTTTCAGCAATTTGTTCTTCATTGGTGAATTGCATATATGGGGTTTGAAGTTGTTTATTCTGGTTATTCCTAAGCTCTCCCAAGTTTTTATTTGTTTTCAGAACTAAGATCAAATATCTTTATACAAATTAAATTAGCAATTTGGCATGCAAAATTTTGTCTCAGTGTCATTTGCTATTAGGGAACAACAAAGCCATGAAGATGGGGGAAAAGGATGTTTCCAAGTATGGAACCACACAGTTTGAATTTGGATTATTTGATGAAAATAGGGCCACTTAGAAGCTCTTATTGGTTACCTACAAAAATGAAAAATACATCTGGTCTTCTCATGGGGCTATTATTCTGAAAATAATAGCAATGTTTTGTCAAAGCTATAGTGACTTCCATTTGAATTAGCTTTAACGATGTTAAGAAGTTAATTCCCATCACAACCAGTTGAAATTAATCATATAATCTTCTTTCTATTACTTGGCAAACTGAGGCCCAGTTCAATCATTCCCCACTCTCCCTTCCTTCTGTTCAGGCATCTCTGAGTTACCTCAGATTTTTTGTAAGGTGATCCTTCCTTAAAGAGCAAGGTGTTGCAAGATCAATGCTAGATTATGTTCTTTGCTATTAGCCTGAGCAGCTGTTTTTATTTCCCAGAACTTACTAATGTGCCATTGTATAGAGGTCATCCTTTAGTCGAACTGCTGAATAATCCAGCAGGGTTCAGGGCTGAATTCTCTCTCCAAAGGCAGAGAGCCAAAATCTAGGATGCAGTGGAGAAGACTTCACTTTTGTCACTTCTAGATCAAAAACACTGGCAGATCAGAGAATATTAAGTGATGAGCAACAAAAGGGTTTAAAGGAGACTGGTGCGGGTAGTAAAATAAAACAATACCATAAGCACAGTTTTGAAGTTTTTCGATTTAAAAAAATATATACTGTGTTTCTTTTTTTTAAAGATGCATGTTACAATGGCCACCATATGAGCTGGAAACAAGTTTCTGCAGATGCTGCTCTTTGTATTCCATTTCAAGTCAGGTGACTTCAGTGAAGAAATAATATCTAGGTCTTACTCACTGACACCGCAACAACTCACAGGTTTTATCAGTAGTAGCTGAGCAAAAATCAAGAAGAGTTGCATGGTTGCGTTGCATGTTTAAAAGCTGGGCTGCTTTCCTTTTTCTGCCTTATTAGAAATAAATGGTTTTTTTAATTATCCATGCAAATAAATATTAGAAGTCTATCCACTTATCAGCCTACAAGGATTTAGAAGCTATACGCAAAGGAGTTATAGGAATTTTTACATATTATATAATTTAGTTTAAGTTCATCATTTTCCCACATACTTGAAAAAACCCACATTATGAATAGAGAAAGCAGAACTTCGAGGCTGGAACCTACATTCATTGTTTATGGTGCCATATTTGCCAGCTTTTTGTAATAGAAAAGACCCAAGGCACTACTATCTCTTTTGTCCTTGTACTATCATTTTAGGTAGGGAATTGCCAAGTGGGACATTTGTGTAGATTATGTAATTTCATCCCAGACGTAAATAGGACAAACACAGGAGTTCCTTTTAAAACACTAATGATTACTTTTTGAATCTGTGTCATTCTGTCTGGGGAGCAACTGGCTTTCATTGTTCACTGTTTTGGTTCATTTTTTAATTTTTCTCCAAAATTTTTGTGTTTCTTCTTTGTGCCTTGTAGGGTCTCTTAAATTTATATATATTTATGTTTGGATGGAATCTTTACCTCCAAAACAAATGAATATGCCTTACTATGAAAAACAGTTTCCTTGCAGGGACCCCACCATTCTGCATGATCAAGTGTTGCTTTGCCTTGGTGTTTTTGCTTTTTTTTGCAAGAAGGGCTGTAGTCCTTGAAGCAGAATCAAACTTACAGTGTCTAACTAACATGTCATGTCTCAGCCAAGTTCATCAGACTCCTGCTTCTCCTCACCTTTTTTCTTTACTCTGTCATCTAACCTAATACAAGTCTTGTGGACACTGGGAGAAAAAAAAGGTTTGTATTTTGAAGCAGAAACTCTGTGTCTCTCATGAAGTTCAACCTACCTGGCCTTGTAGTTATTCCTGTTTGTTTCTCACAGGTAAATAGTTACCATTTCAGTGTAGACACTGTGTTCCAGCACAGTCTTTCAGGATTGTGCCCACAGGTGATTTTTCTCTCTCTTTCCAGGGATATGTAGTTGATGAACATGCAGCCATGCGAGCTCGATGGGAAGAGGCATCTAAAGAAACAATCAAGAAGACAACCAAGCCATGCCCCAGCTGCAATATTCCAGTAGAAAAAAATGGTAAATGTATTATATTTCTCATGCTTAACTGTCTTTTAACAATAAATTAATTATATAAATATATGAAAACGCATGTGCACATATGCACACTATTATTCCAAGAGAGGGAGAGCACACAGAACTTGAATCTGCCACGTCAGCTAAATTATCTGAAATCGCTAAGTGTAAATCACTTAGTTCTAAAGCCACTAATTAAGCCTAACAAAGTGCCCAGCTATTCTGTAGACAGCAAAAATGACTCAGAGAGACACTGGATGTAACATTCATATGACTGGATGTCCAGCTAGTTGTGTAGATTTTCCATTGTCACTGGCAAAAATAGACATTTGTAGAGCAAAACTCATCTCACAATGAAACAGAACATGTGTCTCATGTAGGCCACAAGAATCACACCCAGAAGTGAGGTGTGAAGAATTAGTCCTGCTGTAGATTTCTGCACAGTCTATAGCTGAATCTAAATGAGATTAATCTCAGCTCATGCCCATGGTAGAAGAGCAAGTCAGAGGAAGAAACCTGAGTTCTGACAAATTAGTTGCATTAATCAATGCTTACCATGTAGGGAGAAAAATAATCTGCTGGCAGTGAGGTGGTTAAAATGGGGAACAGGAACAGCAAATCATCTCATGCTGTTTCGAGATTTAATTGTATTTATATTAATTAATCAAAACAAATAAAAACTATTGCCTAAATATTATACTAACATTAATTGTAGAGGATGCTTCTCAGTTTTGTGGCATCACTTACTCAAATGAGACACTGAAAACACCAAGTAAGACATGGCAACTTCAAGGAGAGAGTACCTCAAGCAGTCATACCACAGAAATATTACTGAGGAAGAAATAGGACAAAATTCTGAAATCTGGGGTTTGGTGAAAGAAACGAAGGCAGGTGGCAGATGGAAAGTGGGAGACTTCTTAAAGCACAAGAAGCAGAAGGAAAGAAACCATGAATTCAAGAGTGGGAAGGTGAGACAATATTTGGCAAAGTGTAGAAAGCAAGGTGGGCAGCACAGAGAGGTAAGAGGGGTGCGTCAAAAAATTATTTATAGACTTATAAAATAGGCTGGAAACAAGAAGTTTGAACTGGATTAGAAATACATATATAATAATTGTGACTGTTCATAGCCAAATAAAATAATTTTAAAAAAACACCACTTCTGGAAAGGCTGGAAGCAGTGCTAGAGCCTTTACTTTTTCTTAGACTGCTACAAAATCTTTACTGTTAAATTACAGGCAGTTGCCTCTTGTCACAAACAGGATATCCCTATTTGGCACCATGATATAATTTACACAAGTCCCACTACTGTTTAGGGAAGTTGCTTTTAAAAATCCCCAGTGTTTCATAAAGGAAATAAAGGGCATTATTCTTTGTATCCTTGAAAGAAAGTACTTACTGAAAATACATAATAAGCAGGAAAAAACCTTTCCTTGCTTACCACAGAATCATGGATGTCAGAACAGTGCCTCATAGTGCAAAATGCTGAAGCCACAGCAGCAGGCTAGAAACATTTCAACATGCTGGCATTGGCTGATTGTGCTGCCATTCAGAGGGATCTCAGCAGGATGGAAATGGTTTGAGAGAAACCTCATGAAGTTTAACAAAAGGAAATGCACTGGTACAATTTGGGGGCCAAAGGACTAGAGTGTCCTGGTGGACTGCAAGTTGGACACAAGCCAGCAATGTACCCTCACAGCAAAGGTGGGTAGCAGCATCCTGGCCTGAGTTAGGAAGAGCATCATCAGCAGATTGGGAGTGGTCATCCTTCCCCTTTGCTCAGTATTGATGAGACACATGTGGAGGGGTGGGTCCTGTTCTGGGCTTCCCTGTACAAGAGAGACAAGGACCAGAGCAATTCCAATGAAGGGCTACAAAGATGATAAATGGACTAGATAAATAAATAAATACCTGATGGGAGAGCAAAGAAGACAGAGCCAAACTCTTCTCAGTGGTGCCCAGTTGAAAGGACAGAAGGCAATGGGCACAAATTGAAACACAGGAAATTCCATTTAAACTTAAGAAAATGCTTTTTACTGTGTGGGTATTTGAAGCCTGGAACGGGTTGCCCAGAGTCTCCATTCTATTATACATTCAAAACCCAACTGGATACAACTCTGAGCACTCAACTTTCATTGACCCTGCTTTGAGCAGTGAAGTTTGGACTGAATTATCTCTAAGGTTTCCTTCCCACCTCAGTGATTCTGCAATTCTTCAAATTCAGGTGTGAAGCTTAAAAAGTGCAGTGTTAGCTTTCTTCTCTGGTCACGGGTACTGCCCATGCCAGCTTCTAAGCTGGCATTTATAAACCGCAAGGAGCACTTCACTTCTGCATAAGTGTAGCTGGTGTCAAGGTGCTGATGACTGTGCTCCAGAGTCTGCCAACAGTCCTGATTTGGAAGGAGCACACTGTCTCCACCCAAGAGGTGTGTTTTACCCAGTGATCACTTAATATGACTCATAAGAGAGGATTGTTTCAAAACCTTAGGTAAAGTGTAACATGGAGGCTGCCATTGGTACACTTGAATTTAAACAAGGTAAAAATATCTGGCAAATTGCATCTCTTCCACAAAGGTATAAACATGCCATCACAGCTAGTTTTCTTTCTCAGTCAGATGAAGCAGACAGGCTTGCTTTAACAAACCAGTTCTTATGTCTTCTGCTGGTTTTGCCTTCTGAGAATCATTCTGGAGTGGCATTTACAAAAAAGATGGTGTAAGGGTAGCAAGCACATCCTACAGTAAGGAACATGCATTCCCTGTACCTCATATCAGCATCTGGAGTCAAACCAAGATGATATTTCAGCATTTCTTCATACTGCATGCTTTTCTTTCAGTTTGAATTATACAAGAGATCCCTTTGTGTGGTAAGCAACATAATTTCCATTTGAAGTGTGCTTCTGTAATGACCTCTGGCAATGTTAATGTTTTATATATTACAAAATAAAGATTTGATCAAGGTTGTGAGCAGAGACTAAAGCTGTTCTCACAGTCTGAGCAAGGAAGAAACCAAACATACAGGAAACATTGATGTGATCTCTGGGCTGCTTCAGATACTAAGATGATCAAATCAACTTAAATTACTAACGTCATTTTGATATAATCAGCAGCCAGCCACCAAAGTGTGTGTCTCCTGATTTATTCTCTTTGCAAATCTGTCAGTTGTTGAATCCAAATTCAAGAAAATAATTTATTTTTTTTCGGCTTTTGGCTCACAGCTGGAGTAGGGTAGAGTATCCTTGAGCAGTACCTCCATTATGGCTTTAAGAGGCCACAGGATGTCATCACATTTCCCTATCCCCAGCAGAGTCTCTTCCAATTTCATACAGGACTGCAGCTCCTTGTCCTGCAGTCCCTCAAGTGAGACCAGTACATTCCACTCATTAAGAGGGGCAGTAGCAAGTTCTGGAAAGCCCAAGTTTGTTAATTTATTTTATTAGATATTCTACTTGGTTAGTAAATGAATGCCTAAGAAAGTTGATTTTAAAAACGCTAATTGTTGATTAACATCTCTAAGTGTTTGCTGAGTAGCATGGTCATTCTGTTGCTGTTTTGCAGGTGGCTGCATGCACATGAAGTGTCCTCGCCCTCAGTGCAGATTTGAGTGGTGCTGGAACTGTGGCCTGGAGTGGAATAGAACCTGTATGGGAGATCATTGGTTTGAGTAGTGATGCTGAGGCCAGTCCATGTCACTACTAAAGCTTGTTTTCATCAGGGCCAAATTCTCAACTCCTTCCTTAAACAAGACGCCCAGTGGTTTCAAGGACACAGAGTTCAGAATTTGGCCCAATTTGCTGGGTTTTGCTTTCTTGCATATGCAATCATACCAAAATCACATTGAAGTTATGCCAAGGGTTTTAAATCCACTAAGTAAAAAGAGTAATTGTTTGATGGGTAGACTTGCTGATCGGGGTACAAAGAGGGGTAAATTACACCTTTGTGAAAGTGTGCAGTCTGTTAGCACAGAGAGCATACAGGATTACCATGTGGAACTTTGCTTCATATTTATAGTCAGGAGTTCACAGCTCTTGCAAGAGAGAGCAGCCTGCATTATGTGTGTGAGTATGTGAGAGTCAAGGGAGTGAAGGATGTTCCTGCATCAGCTGCTTTTTCTTCGACCACTCCTTTGCTCATTTAGCACAATTTCCAATTTTGATTTTTGATTTTGAGGCAGTATTTCTTAACAGCTTTTTTTGGCCGAGGGAAGACTGTGGCTGTTCAGTGTTTTCTCAGGGTTCCTTCCTAACAGGAAGGAGGGGTCTTGCTTTCAAAACCAAATTCTCGTAGAAACATCCAGCTTTTTTTTTTGTGCTTGGGTATTTGTAACATACAACACGAAACCTATCTATATACTTACCATAGATATTGTTACCATTGGAAGATAAGCTAAGGATGCAGTCTCAGCTCTAACCATGGCTGCTGTTGCAGTGGTGGCTAGATCTGATTAAGTGTTGTGCAACCTGGACTCATGGGGCTTTGTTTTTCTTATTCTTACAGCAACATTTGGGATATGGCAAAGGGAGGCAGGAGCAGACTTCTCAGGGGTTTTCTCTACCATCATTCTACTGAATTGAAGTAGACTATGGGTATATCTCTGAAAATACATTTGCAGCTCAAAAGTGTTGGGTAAAGGTGCATCTTTCATTTTACAATGTTAACACATAAGTAAAGTTACTAGCATTTCCAAGCCTGAACAATCTTACTGTTTGGTGTGCTTTGCATTGCTGTCTTATTCTGAAATGAAATGTGTACTGTCCACATCCAAAATGCCACATAAGTGTTTGCACAATTCAGTTTTGAGGAAAAAACGCACAATAAACAAAGTTGTCAAAATTTTAAATTTTATTTCTTTTTTGATTTGAATACAAAGTAAGTGAGCACAAAGATAGTGGGTGGGTCATGCATTTCCTTGACTGATTCAAGCTCCCAGCCGAGAAGCTAGTCCTTAGATTAAAACATACTATTAGCACAAAATAAATTCCAGGGCCATGGGCTTCTTGTCTCAAGTTTGAATTAATATTTTGAATGGCATGACTATAGACTCCTGAAAACGTGTGTGTGCCTTTTGTCAGTCAATGCAGAGCAAGAACCTTGAGGTATAAAGAAGTCCCAGGCTCTCAACAAAAATGTCCAATTGCTAAAAAAAGTGGAGTATTTATCTGTCTCTGCTGGAAGCGACATTAGAAGTCAGAGGAAACAAAGGGATGAGGACATGAGGTACCAAAAATGAGAGAGTGAACTGGCAGAATTAAGAAAATTAGACAGAAAGGAAGAGGCAACAGGAGAACAATGGCCATTTCTTATAGGTCATTTTCCTTTTTGGCAGTCGTGAACTAAAATGTATGCAGAAGTAGCTACATTAAAATGTAGTGATGCACTAGAATGCTGCAATGTAGCTCATTTAAGTACATTATCTTAATGAGGATATTTTAATGTGAGCTCTGATTATTTGATCATGTGATTTCCTGCACCTAGCTCTATTTTTTTTTATATATATTTTTTTTTGCATTTCGATGGCTTGTTGCTAACAAGCTAGGGAAAAACCACAACACTTAATTTTACTTTGATAATGTGTTACATGGAAGCTCATCACTATATTTCTTATCCACAAACATTTGGAATAAAAGAAGTCTGGTTCTTCCATTTTTTAATGTCTTTCTTACAGAGGAAGAAAAACTTTGTCAGTGTAAAGCCCTTTCACTGAGTTAGAGCCTGCCTTAACAAGTTAATATTTTAATTGGCACATAGAAACATGTGGTTTATGTCCCTGGGTCAAGGTCCATTGAAGTCAATGCACTCTAGATCAGCTGCTATATTTCTTTCTGACCTGGGCAAGGCATGGCAGGCATGAGTCATAAGGCTAGACAGTCATAAGCTTCCCCTCTTTCTTGAGAAGAACTTGTCAGAGAATGGGATTGTGAACATTCGTCTAAGACATAAGCAAGGGCAGGAAAGGACAATAAAGAAAGGAGTTGCAGCACTGACTCAAGATTATCCACTTTTAGAGACTGAGTTTATAGACCCTTGTCACAGGGTTTCTTCATACAGTCCAGATTTACACCTTGCCAGAAAAAAGTTTGCATCCTGCAGTCTGTAAATGAACCTCTGTATTAATACATACGTATCTGTATACACGCACACACAAAGTTTGAGATGGCATGGTCTGTAAAAACTGATCTCTGTTTACAGTAAGATTAATTCTGATGCAGAGACCTGTTGCACATGTGTATGGTGGGGCCTGCTAAATTTTAAGTAAAACTTGTCATGGCTAGATGTGTGATGGCAACATCCCTGCCAGAGACAGGGTTCAGCTCCTGACAGGATCAGCAGCTCCCACACACTCTTGGCTCTGTTTTGATGTGGAGAGGGGAGTCTTCCTTTTTTAAAACCTGTGAGCTGGCATTGCTTGCTAGCATCAATGAAGCCAGCCTTGGCAAATGCTTCCTCTGGGTCAGCACACACATCTCTGGAAGTGGTCCTGGGTGGTAAAGAAGAGAAACAGGGCTTAAGCACAAAGCAAGAGGGAAATCAACCTGAGGGCATAAGCAGATGCAAAGGTTTCAGGAGCTTTTGGGTTTATGTTCTCCACTATCTTTACACACTGGAAACACTAATATTTAACTACGTGTTTTGTATATTCAAAGTATTTATTTTGGTGATATAAAGCAAAAAAAGAAGTTTGTATCTTTTTACATCTAGGTTTGCCTTTGTTTATTGAATTCTCTTTATCTTGAACTTTCTTCATCTTTCAAACAATTACAGACTTGTTCTTGGTACTGCAATCTGAGCTCCTTTTAGTGTGTGTTAAATGGATTAAGTACAGGATGTATGCTGAAATATTCAATAATAATTATCTCTATAATAATTCAGCTCTATAACAACAAAGAAAATCTCTAATATTTAATTCCAGCTGTCAGTGAAGTCTGAAAACCAAGTAGATTAACAAGAAAATATATAACAGCTTGATTCCCTAAGGAAAAAGTACATCTCAAAGCTTAGCATAAATAATACTTTGGGAGCTGTGACTTTGAAAAAAAGTATCACTTATATGTCTGCCTTATCTCATTGCAAGCTACAAGCCAAATGATGTCATGTACACTTTTAAAAAAATCAGTAAATGGCACTCCAGAAGAAACATTACACCAGTGTTGGAAAAGTCATGGTCTCAAAGGACAGCAAGCAGCAGGATTTGCTTTTTCATATGACCAGTAAGATACCGCCTGTAGTGCAAACCATTATCATAGCAAAACTTTTTGCCTATAAACCTTGTAGATTTGAAGTAGAAGTAAACTGAAGTAAAATGTTCATTTGTGGAGGGGAACCTGAGGTATTTGGAGGTAAGAGGACAGATTTCAAGAGATGCTGCTGCCTTGGAAGTTTGGGAAGGTTTAGGCCTTTGTACCAGCTTTCTCACACTTTCAGGCAACAACAACAACTGCTGTCTTTCATGATTGCTGTGCTGCCCAGACCAGTGTATGGTAAATACTTAGGTGCAGTAAGGTCAATAAGCAACACTTGCAGCAAGATAGGAAGCCTAAAGCATATTACCAACTCCAAAGATTGGTTATTCCCATGCTGACCTAATTTATCTTATTCAGTGTTTGACTAATATGGTGATGGCTGATCTAGGGAAACCCTATGCAGAGATGGACAGCTGCAGTACAGCTGTGTTAACAACTAAAATTTGTTCCCAGGCAGCAAAATTCTCATAGTGTCTTCAGTTTGTTTTCCAAGCAACAGAAAGCCTAAAGACAGCACCAACCCAATGCTGTCAGAAGAAGGAAAACTGATGTATAAGTGATCCTGATGGTCCTTCAGCAACTTCACACAGATGTATCTGACAGCACAGCGTTGACAATGATCCATCACAAAGAGACAAATGCACTATTTTACATTTTATCCAATTTGATTAAGGTTTGTAAGGAAATACTTCCATCTCTAATGAGCAAATTTAGAAAAACCTCTCCCTTTTTTTTCAAACTTGTCTACTGATTCCAGTTATGTTTGTTTATGCATGTGTTTGCTGGTATGATTCCCCTTGTGTATCATCTACTGATTTACATCTGCGGTTCCTCTTCAGATAGTTAATGCTCTAGCAGTTTTCAGCTTGATTGTCTATGAACTACTAGAGTACATGCACCAAGTAGTCCCATCTCGTGTTATGGGTAAGTACAGGCAGACCCAAAAGAAATGTAGATGGCTTTAAGCAAACAGTAAGGAAGGCAAGACCAGTGATAGGACAAGAGGAAATGGGGTTAAGCTGTGCCAGGGGAGGTTGTTTGGATATTAGAAAAAATTTCTTCACAGAGAGAGTGGTGAGGCATTGGAACAGCCTGCCCAGGGAGGTGGTGGAGGCACCATAACTGGAGATGTTCAAAAAAGGGCTAGACATAGTGCTTCATAAAATGGTTTAATGGTTAGGGGTTGTAGAGTGGGTGGTTGGACTGGATGATTTTGGAGGTCTTTTCCAGCCTTGAGGATTCTATGATTCTAAGTTGAGGGAATCTCATTAATCATATAGAAAATGGTATTTAATGTATTAGTTTGTGTATTTACTGGGATTTATTATTATTTTTTAATCAGGTCATTTTTCATTATTATTAATAATGCTTTTTTCTTTGCTTTTAATCTGTTTTTCTTGTCTATGTCTCCATTTTATGAATAATGG